TTATTATCATGCTGTCCTCTAGTGCAAGCCATCTCCACCATCCTACACTCCATAAAGATCTGATTAATTAACATAGCAGGAAGTCACTATATACCTTCACCATCAGTGGGAAAGGAGGTAAATATGTGCCATGTACATGTGATTTATTTACTCATTGGGTTTTTTTTTTTTACATCCCAGTTCATTCCAAAAAGAATTTGGAGTGAGATATGTCACCTTTCCTCTGGCATCCCTCTTAAAATGCCCATGGATTGATTACTAAGGAGGGTTTGTAGCAAAGATCCAGGAGCAATGGATTTGGGTTTTGAAATTGTCTGGTTGATCATGATCAATCTCTTGGAGACAAATGTTATACTGCATTGAACAACATTCTTGCTTTCTTCCTGGTGAAAGTTAGGTTTAGAGCCTGGGGCTAAAATAGGCCCTAATTCTAGACCTAATCCAGGGACACAATTGGGTTCTGAAGGTATATTGTCATTTACATAGATGCTCTGCATTAGATAGAGATGGTGATAAGGAAAACAGAATTAAGAAGCCACTCTCTCGCCTCTCTTCCGTGCGTCAATTGAAGATACAGTCAGCTGCATCACGTCTGGTTTTGTGGTTTCACCATTTCCAGTCTCACCATATTCAGAAGTCAGGGAGAAGGCATCTGCTCCCACAGTGCTAAACATCAGGTCCTGGCTGAAATGCCACCCATGCAGAGAAGCCTTTCCTGGACTCTCTTAGGCAGCCTACTGGTCACTTGTGTTATATTGTCATGTTTTATCTTCATCATAGCACTTGTCACTAACTGATACTTTCTTGTTTATTTATCTGGACTTTTGTTTTTTGGTCTATCCATCTTCCTCTCCACCCCCAATAAGAGAGGGACCACCCCGTTCTGTTCAGTGCAGCATCGGCAGCACTTGGCACAAAGGATCCAGACAGGTGCTCAGTAGGTGTTCACCACACGAATGAGTAAGTGGTGTGGGGGGAGCAACTTCAGTCCCTCTCCCCACACCTCAGCCAGTGCCTGTCCTAATTTCCCTCTAAGCACACACCAGTTTCCTGCAGCATCAAGTGAACTATGATGTCTGGTGGTTGGATTACTAGATTTTAAAGGCATGGACTCATGTGCCTCTTTCTCAGGCTTCCCACCTATGATGATGATTGGGTTTTACCTTTTGAAGAAAGGTCTAAAACACTCTTGAATTTCACCTTTCCTCTTATGAAGCAAAAGGTTCTGGCAGGTCAGTATTTCCACCATACTTCCTTAACACACACACACAGTTACTTCTCATTTGGAATATTATTTGCTTGTTCAGCTACAAATAAAGTTGCATTTTGATTTCCATTTTGCTTTTTTTTTTCCTATATAGACCTGGGTTCCCTGTAAATAAATAAGGTTGGGGATTCCTGAGAATGCAAGATTTGGGAATTTCTGAATGCCTAACCATATTACCATTACAATAGACTCAACTACTGTACTCCTTACCTCTAATATTGAAATTTGATCATAATTTTCAAACCAAATAGCTCTAATAATAGCTGGTAATTTTGCAACCTGTGTGTGGAACTATACTGTCCTCAATGGATTCCCATTTCAAAGTTGGCACGTAAAAACCTTTGGTATCCCAACTTCCCTCACCATGAAATCATCTTCTATCAGAATGAGAACAACTACAAGGAAAGATTCACGTCCATCACCATATCAGGATTCTGGAAATGCACCACATGGGCCAAGTAAGGATGGAAGAACCAAATGGGTAGAGGCTGTTAGTCTTTGTCCTCAGAATTCAACACTGCCACCCCCATTCATGTCCCTAATGGTACCATCCCTTTAGAATGAGAGGTTTCATGTTTCCTGTTTATCCATAAGAGCAGACTCATCTTAATAAAATACCAGGACTGTCACTTTTACCACCCTGCGTTGTAGCATGTCAAAGATATTTTACAGTCATTTGGAGTAGCAAATTCTATCTGGCCTAACTAAAAGGGGCTTTATGGCAAACTATGAAATTTTTTAAGATCTAACAACTCTTTGGACACTTATCTTCAAAAAATATGTCTGTGGTATCTTAATAGCTTCCCTAAGTGTAACAGCTTCCCTAAAGGTAATTAGGTGAGTGACTTTTCAAAATGCAGATTAACCAGATATTCTGAAATTAGTAATGAATACCTACCATACTTTATCTTCTTAATATATGTCAAACTCCAGTTCATCTTAAATGAAATTTTGTGTAATTGAATATTGCTTGAAAAAAATGTGGCCTGAGTGGAACTTGAAGATTTTTGCCCTGATAATGCTTGCTGATTTAAAATTTAATTTATACTACCTTTACTTTTATTATTTCTATATTTCAAACTGTATAAAATCACTCATCTTCATTTTAGGCCACAAAATAGGCTTAAGTTACATTAAGAAATAAAATTCTAATGAACATTTTCAGAGATTCCAAAGCTTTTCATAAATTCAAATCTAAAAAAATGAAGATATAGACAAGTTTGCCATATTTGCAATCATAATCCAATGTGCTAAAATTAAAAAAGGTTTGAGATATACTGAAGTCTTCCCAAGGAAAAAAAAATAGTAAAGCAAAAATATCTAATATACAACTGATTACAAAGCAGTGTGGATATTGTCATATGACATGTAGTGCACTTCAGTCCTTAAATGCAAAATAATGAAGCTGTACTGGATATTTCTGTATTCTGTTACAGCAAGAGAAATCCTACAAGACCACAAGCATGCAACATGGGCTGCAAGTATAAAAATTTATCAATGAAATTCATTGGGAGTATGAAATAGCCTCATACCAGCTTTAAAATAAAACATTAGAAAGCAAAAGAAAATATGCCAATATATATTATCCATTCTGTTTTTCCTTATATTTATTTCTCCTTTCATTTTCTTATCCAAGTTTGACATGGTAAAAATTAGAGTAACTTTTCTCTCACTCATTTTCCACCTGGCACTGTTAGTTATTGGCAGCAACAGCCTCAAACAAACTAAAAAGGATGTGGTAAGAACAACTGAAAAGCTGCAAGGGCTTAATCAAAAACTTGCTTATGGGCAATGTATGGCCATGTTCACACATCTTTAATACTTTGTTCAGACCTTCATATAGGGCCCCTCATAGGGCCATCCAAGCAGTGTGTCTGGAAGCTGACCACCATGGTAGTAATACTGCCGCATAACTACCCCTCCCTAATACTCACGCCCACACTCCCACTCCCCTACCACCCAGCTATGTCAGAGATCCTATCTGGGAAAAATAAAAGGAGAACTTATTAATTTAACTACTGGGAATGTAAAGTCTGCATCCTTGCTACTTGCATATATATGTTCATTGCTGAACTCTAAAGTCACACCACATGTGACTCTATAAAACATAATAAGAATAAAACCAAAAGAATGGACCTCTTTCCTAACACTTCTAAGCTTTTATAATTTTTACAGATTTGAGTTTCCGCATCTCTTTTTCTAGACTTAAAGGAAGATAAAACTATTTCTGAAAAGCCAGCTAGTTCAATAAAAACAAACAGGCTGAGAGAGAAGCCAGCTAGTTCAATAAAAACAAACAGGCTGGGTGGTGGTGGAGGGGAGGGAAAAGGCTGCCTTTGAACTTGAAGGGTCTTCCAAACCACAGCGCATTTGCACTATTAACAAGCTGCTGGTGGGTTTGTGAAGATGTATGGATGCTCTGTCACCAGGAGCATTCGATTGTGTGCATAAACGGGTGAAGCCTGACAATGGAGCGGTTGGTATAAGTCAGTGAGTTAGGACTGCAGGGTCAAAGGCCCTCAGTTTTGCCCTGTTTGGTGAGCCTGGGAAAGCTACTCCATCTCCCTGTGCCCCTCCTCCTCAATCAGTAAAATATGGGTTTAATAATAACTTGGCTGACAAAAGTCTTAGAGGATTTACTAATAATAGGGATAATAAAATATGTGTAAAATTTAAGTGCCATAGCAATGCTAAATTATATGAGCCAGGCCTGCCAGGGCAGTCAGTTTCTCTTCTGATATCATTTAAAACATGTTCATGGGTGTATTATCTCTTTCACAATGCCAGGGAGACAGTGGCTCAGCTGAAATATTTCTAGCCTGAGAAGGTAACAGGGTAAATGAATGCTTCAATCACCCTGCTAGGTTTATGAAACACTCTCACTTACATTCTTTCATTGGATCCTCACAAGAAGCCTGTGAAACAGACTAGGCAGATAAAATCATTCCCATTTTATGGAAAAAGAAACTGAAGCCCAGAAGGGTTCACCAACTTGCTCAAGGTCATCTGGCTGGTGGAGGCAGAGGCCAGACTGTAGTTGGAGTTTCCTCACTCCTGGCCCTGCACTCTTCCTAATTTACTGCACCACCCTATCAAAATGGGAAGGAATGGCAATTAATTGATGGATTAACTATTATTTATTTCTGCTCATATTGGCTGAGCACTTGCTATGTTTTCATGCATTATCTTGTTTGCTCACCCACTGACGAGGCAGATACTATTCTTAAGGAAACCTTCACTGACCACCTCTGCAAAACGAGAGCTCTTTCTATGAAAGTCACACAGCAATTTTTCCTCACTATACTGCATTCTCTATTTTAGCTGAATTTTCACATGCACATTAGATTGAGATGTCCTCAGGAACAGAGGCATATCCATCTTTGTACCTCCCATAGCACTCAGAACAGTGCAATGTGCATTATACAAGTTCAATTAATTTTTTGCTTTGGTGACTACAGGTATGTGATTTTTAAAAATACTTAAATGGAGCCAAGTTTCATAGTAATAAGTATTTTACATTCTTGAAAATGAGAAGTCACATTTCTTCAACTGGTTGAGTGAACACCACATTAGCTGATTACATTTCTGTTTACAAGGATTTTAAGTCTCTGCTATACCTTAGAAATGTATATTTTCAAGGTACAGAATTTGCCAGTGGAAATGATCCTATGATAAGTAGAAGTCACATGTACCTAATCTGATCACCAAAAGACTTTGCCTGATGGCTCCTTACCTGATAGCATATTGTCTGTTTTTATTGAGGGAAACTTCAAAGTCATTTCATGCTTGTGCCTATGAATGATCAGATGGTCTTCTGTTGGGAAGCGCTGTCAAAGAACAAAACGGAGAGGGGAGAGCAGCCATTGAGTTTTGTAATATATAATTGTCAACATAGAGAAAAAGATTTATTCAGCATTGCAAACATGTAGGGCAAAACAATAAATTAGTTCTGAAAAAGTGTGTAAGCATGATGAGTAAAATAACAAATTATTTTATGCAGGCAAATGTGCTGGGATGTTCCTTTGAATTACACCCAAATATATGCATCATTATTCTCACTACAGTTTACAAGGGGCTAACTATGTTGCACTAACATCTGGCTGAATACTAATAAGACATAAGACATCTTTGCCTTTCATCATCTCTGACTCCCTACATCTTCTGGTAACATGGTAGGATTGGATTTCCTGCACTCTTCTTCTAGTTGGGTAGGGTCACTGACTACTTCTACCTATTGAGTCATGAATGGAAGTGACATGTCACCCAGATGCAAGCACCTAATTCCTGGTGCAAGACCCTCTAGAGGCACCTCCACTCCCTTTTAGCGCGGTGACTTACACTATTAGAAATAGTGACCCCCTCAGTCATCCTCAATCCAGAAATTAATGAAGAATTATGAAGAACATTTTTGAATTCTGGAGGATCTTGAAGAATATCCTGCCTATCTGTAGTATAAGTACATGCATGGGCAACTGAAATAAGCTTTTGTGGTTTTAAGTAACTGAGCTTTGGAGTAGATTTTTATTGTAGCAGATCCTAGCCCATCCCAACTCAAACTAGTATGTTTTAATAACTGAACTTAACAGAATATCTGCTTTATCAAAGTCAAAAGAAAATACCACAAAAGACAATAAGCTCTGCTGAGCATTTCTGAATCTTTGACAATTTAGAAAGTCAGTTTCCCAGTCCCTCAGGATATTGACTGCAAATTTCAATTACTATTGTATACTACAGTAGAAGCCTTTTCTGCAGGTAATATGGATTTGTGTTCAAGAAAATAGGGAATTTACTGGGCTAAACTTGTTGGGATATTCTGAAAGTAGTTCTTTGAATAAATATCACTCATTTAAATATTTGTCATTTATATCATACAAATTGGAGAGCATAGAATTTGCCAAGCAATGTAATTATTCCAGATTTATGAATACATGGAAGTCTTATTTATAATGGCATGTGGATTTTTGACACAGAGTTCATCTAGTTTCTTGGTCTTCTCTACTGCCATCTAATGATGGCATCAAATATGTGACATTACCATATATGGCTTACAGACATAGGTTAAGTTTCTTAGTCTTTCTGTCAAAAGCCTTATTATAATCTCTTTTGTGATATATATATTCAGGAAACAACATGGCAATAGCCTTCATTTTATATCCATAAGCCATTTTTTGGCTCTGTAAAATAATAGCCTAACAGAGATTATTAACCAGATACTTATTTTAAAAAATAATTTCCATATTATCTCATATTAACTTTCCATATATATTTCATAGAATTACTTTCCAAAATAGACATACAGGATATCTGTGCTTTTTAAACAGTTTGGTAGGAAAAAAGCAGCGAATTGTAAATAACCAAAATGTACAGTCTGCAACAGATACAGACCTAAGAGAAGCCACTGCAACTCGAAACATGGTTAACACAGAGGGCAAAGAAATAGTGACATTAACACTGGACTCTGTGAGATCAGAAAGAGCAAGAGAAGATTGTCTCTCTTTACTGCTGGGACAAAGCTAATGTATAAGGAGCTATAACAAAATCTCCCAGGTATTATAGGCCTTTCCTAATAAAGCCAAGTTTCTTTCCAACAAGGGAAAAAAGGAGAAAAATCCTTCATTCAACTCTGATGCAGCACAAGCACAGATAATCCATATTTACTCCTCTTTCCAATGCCCAGCCATCCATTTTTCTCCATATAGATTCCCTGGCTACAGAACATCACTTAAGTAAATGTCATGATCACAACTGACTTGACTGCGATTTCCTAACACCCACCAGGAGACTCTTGGAAGTCACTGGGCAGCTACTACAGTTTCTCAATTCTAATACCTCTTCAGTGGAAAAACATACTTATTTTTATAACAGTGTATTTTATATATTTTTTTATATTTTATATATACTGTTATAATTATAATTCATATATAATTATATTTTTATAATATTCTTTATCAAGGAAAAGGAATACTTCCACTTTAAATAGAGACATCAAGTTTAGATGCCTCCTTACATTTAAATTTGGCAGAAGGTAGAAATTTTACCTCAAACACAACAAATTATGTAAATCCTCAATTCTCTTGTTTTCCAACCCTTTCCTCAGTCTGCTCAGGCTTCTGAAGGAAATAACCTGCTCCTTCAGTGAGAAGTTCAAAGCCATTAGAAGTGCACCCCCTTCAACCTTTATTACTATCTCTGCCTCAGAATTTGCATGTAACTTCATAGATTCCACTTCCATGCCTTCCTCTTTCAAAGGAGTAAGTAACCCCTCTCCTCCACAGGCTCCTCCACACCCGTATCTTCTGGTATTGGTGCCTTCAGGCCGGCATGCTCACTCCTCCTTGCCCTTGGCTAAATCCAGTTTGGCTAGCCTTTAATTTAAAAAGAACCTCTCTCAAGCTGCTTCCTCCTCAAGCTACCATTATATCACTCTGTTTCCCGTCACTCCCTAGAGCTCTTGAAAGAGTCCTCTATGCTTTCCACCTCCGCTTCCTCACCACCCACTCACTTGCTAATCCCTTCCAATCTGGTCCCCACCCCACTCCTCGCTCATAGGTCGACCATAAGCACCCAACTGCCAAATCCAACAGCCTCTCTCTGTCCCAGCTCCAGTGGAGCCCGACACCAGTGACCACATGTCTGTGGTGTTTATTTATTTATACCCTGCCTGATTCCAAAAAGGAGAAAAGATGGCTTATAGCAATACATAAAATAGTGTGGGAGAGCATCACCTAGAAGTAGGTGACCCCCAGAAGAGAAGGAATTCAAAAAAAAATATGGCTAAAGCCAAAGTGCAAACCATCAGGCAGTCATTCTCAACCAGAGACAATTTGACCCCCAAAGGGACAGTTATCAATGCCTGGAGACATTTCTGGTTTTCACAACTGGGGAATGCTACTGCGAGCTGCAGACAGAGGTCAGGCACTGCACACATCCTGTGATGTACAAGACAGCTCCCCAGAGCAAGGAATTATTTGGTCCCAAACATTCATAGTGCCATGCTTGGGAAAATCTGCTGCACAGTCCAATGACCTGTGTGCAGTTCTCTCCTCCCTGACTTATCTAAACATTACATATGGCTACCAATCCCCTCCAATGCCCTCTTCTACTGTTATTCACAACCGTGTACTCCACCAGAATCCTAACTTGCTATGAACCTTCTTTGGCTTTAGCTAGGTCTTTTGAGGATCCCATTCCCTTTAATGCCCTTTCCATAGAGCAGCCCCCATTATCCTCCCCAAGTAAAGTAAAACCCCCCAAGATACTCTTCAAGGTGGCCTGTGCTTGTCCTTCATGGAAAATTGCAGTTCACTATTTAATTGATGAGTTGATCATATGGCTACAGATTTGATGCCTAGATTGAAGCTCTGTGAGGACTGGAATATATGTATGCACATAGTAGGCCCCCAAAAAATATGTTGAGGGACTCAAATAGAGTAAAACTACATGTCACATTTTCAAGGCCAAAGCAAAGGCTCAAATTATCTGATTGCCTTTGGCTATTGAGACTTCTCTTTAAAGAAACTAAAACTAAAGGAGAATCAGTTTTACCTTAATTAGGTAAGGTGATTTTCTGCATTCACAAGGAGAGTCATGGTCTAGCAGAATTTTCCCAGTTACTTACCAACCTATCTATATTTTCCCAGTGTTTCCTATTTCAAAATGACTTCTAAAACCAGTTTGCTGAAAAAATAATTGAAATTCAAAATAATTTTCCCTATTGTTTTTCTTATTTATACGTTGCAAGTCAGTGTTCACACAGAAGCCCATGAAGAACTTGCTGGAACCCGAGCAAGGACTCTGGCTTCTCAGTCAGTTATCTTGCTGATAACTGATCACCAGCAAGAAAGCACCAGCAAAATAGCTCATGTTCCCTGGCATCTTTCCCCCAGAAGGCTCCCAGAACCTTCCACAAACTCTACGGGGAGACATAACAAGAAGGGGCTTCAATAAGCCTCACCTCTCACCCAATCCTAGACGTTGCTCTGTGCTGTGCTATCAGCCCCACCACATAAACAGTCAAGAGTGGGGCTGGAGTCCACATGAAACTAAGAGACAGTTTAGAAGAGAGCACAACCACCCACAGTGGGGAGAGGCCTGTGCTTTGAGTTTGAACCTTATCCTGTATCCCATAAAATTAGTATCTTGGCATGAGAGTGCCATATGTGGTCATTTTCCAAAGACTGGAACAGGTATAGAAAAAGTCACTACTAAGTTCCAAAGGAAAAGTATAAAACTCTGGTTTTAGGTGATGGGTATTTTCCATTTCTTTCAAGGAGGTAGGTTCTAGTATAGTAGTAGTAGTGATAGCAGCGGTAACAGTATTGACAGGGAGCAGTGACCGATGACGTGCAGGCCCCATACTAAACAGTCTCCATGCAGCATCTCATCTAATCCTCACAGCGATTCCTCTGGCTTGGAGCTGCTGGAGGTTTAATCCAGCCACAGCAGGCCAACTTCCCCTCTAAAAGTTTAGATAAATGGGAAAAATGCAGGTTCTAGAAGAGTTATGGTGGAGGTATTTTACTCAGAGGGGAAAATAAAACAAAATAGAATTCAGCCTCTCATGGTGAGCTATTTCACCAGGAAACCAAAGGTCCAGTATTCAAGTGGCTATTATAAAAGCAGGCACCCCCTGACCCCCATTCTGAAATAACAATCCCAAACATCTGGTGGGCAGAATGCATGTGGCTTACTTCCAGGGAAAAGTTTGGATGGAAATAGCCAACACTGATGTATTTCAGGGGCTGGGTGGGAAGCAGTTCAAACTATTCAAAGTGGAAAATAATGATGATGATCATGGTCATCGCAATCATGATGGTTAAGGGGAGTTTGAAGATACCTTGATAAAGAAAGCAAGCCCGCAGCAAGCATGACTGCCAAGTGAGAGGGGCTTCACTGTTGGAAGGCAGAAGTGTCCCCTGCAAGGCTGAGCAGAGGATCCCCACACTCACCTGGGAGCAGCCTGGAGCACTGCAGACAAATGGCCTCTCCTGCTCCAAATTCATTTTGGATTCCTCATAAATCTGAAGGGTTAGGGGGAGAGGGAAGAAGAAAAACAGAAATCCATGAATAGCTTCTGCTACCACCTGAGAAATATGAGAAAGGCAATTGTTCAGAGTTCCCTTCCTATGCCAATTCCCAAATTAGATGAGAAAAATATTAATGTGAACGCATGTCCTGCTTTGCTGAAGTTCATTAGGCTCCCTGCAGTCCGGGTTCCTGTGGCTTCTCAAGTGCAAATTTGCTGTACTTTGAAGAAAAATGCCATGGGGCTGTTGCAGCAGAACTCCTGCCTGTGAAAAACCACCTGGTCAGTGTTATTGCCAGGTAAGATCCCACCTGTACAAGAAGATTCGTAGGCAAAGTTTGCATGGGTCCTTTGGGGTTGCTACTTAAGACAGCAAGAGATTAGGCAGTAACTGGGTAATCATCAGTTTAGGGACAGCAGGTCAAATGATTCACCCACAATCAACCCACCAAGCTGCAGGATGACCAAGGGACTCAAAGTAGCTCTGCAGCCAGCTTAGCAAATGACCCTGGTGGCAAGTCTTAAGTTCATCTCACGCATTCAATGATACCTCAACAGAAATTATCCAAGTTATTCAGGGCTAAATAGAAATCAGAAAATGCAAAACAAAAAAATACCTTGGGTATTTTGCTAATTTTGTTTTACAGACTGATTTGAAGTTAATATTAGATTAAGGCTACTGTCTCTCTGATCTAGATAATTTATCTGGAATAAGGTAGCTTTGCAGGGAGAAAACTTATGTTATAATCTCAGACATAAATTAAATTGTAGTGTGGTCTTTTCTTATGTAGAGTTAGGTTCTAAGGTAAGTTCATTAGGCAAAAATTGAACATAATCCTCCCAAAGCCAATAAAACTACAGTTTACATGGTGATGGGATTCTTAATCTATACAGCAACATAAAATTTGTAAAAATGTCACAGATTAAGTTCCACAATTTAAATCATTTTCTAAATCATTCTTTTCTTTTTTGTCAACTTAAATAAGCTCCATGTGCCGCTAGTGGGATATGGCTCTGTAATGGAACTAAAACCTACTGTTTTGTCCCTGCTCACAGGAAGCAATTTGCTTCCTTAAAATGCTACTTGTAGGTGATTCCAAATGAGTATCAATTCACCTTCACCCTTGGAAGAGGAATTCTGCTTGACTCATGGCATAGCTACCCTTTATTCAAGGAAGCTTTATTATCTTACAAAAAAAAAAAGTTCATTTGTATGTCATTATACCCTTCCAGCAAACACTAACATATTTCACATACATTCTTGGGGAAATAGATGCATACTTTCACTTTTCTGAAACACAAAGCAAAACTTTGCCTTAGATAACACTTCTGGTTAAGTATTACAAAACAAATTAAAATGTAATTTTATTTATTTGTATTACAAAACAAAAATATTTAAAAATGTAAAATCTCTTCATACCACTAATTCTCCTCATCATACAATTTTCACCAAGTAATGTCTTTTTTACTCTTCATTTGGAATGATTTCCTGCTAGTCACCTATCAACACAGAAATATAGCATAATTTTACAGCTTTCCTGTATCAGGCATATTGCCTAAACTCTTTTACTCTATTATATTTAGGAGAAGAAAAAATTGCAAATATTTTAGAAGCTTTCCACTTTCCATTGTCTGAGGAAAATCACAAGGCATTAAAATAACTTCTCGTGTCTGATTATTCATTTAATTTTTGCCCTCACTTAACTATAAAGCATCCCTCCTCTGCTCTGTGAATGCTAACAACTTATTTCTAGGCCTCAAAACAAAGGGTGACTTTACAGCTGAGAAAGTGATTTTGGTCCAAGATAGAATAAACAGCAGAGTAATTGGGTTATCCGTTAATTAAATATGCCTGTTTTTCTAGTAAATTTTTTAAAATGCTTTCCTGGAACTCTTCTGTCTCTGTGGCCATGATCTGCCAGTGCATTGCCAGGTCATTTAATTGCTTCAAGCCTCAATTTCCCCTCCTTTAAAACAAGGGTATGGCTACAAATCAGCTCCTTCATTCCTGTGTCACATTGATCAGTTAGGAGCCATCAGTAAGACATTTCCAAATTAGAGAGAAAGGTCTATATATTTTAGTGTGTGTGTTTGGAGGTAGGAGGGAGGCGCTGTGGGCAAGGGCCACTGTAACCTCACTCTAATATTGACTATTCCCTATTTACAAAAGACAATTTTCTACAAGCTGAGTCTTTCTTGGCCACTATGTAAGAGCTTCGGTTGCTGAAGAATGGTAATATTAGTAATAATACTAACCAATATTAATATTACATGACAGTAAAATGGGAAATTTCCTTATAATATTGGAATACAAGTCCCAAAGTAAAATGGCAGTTGCTAAAATAAAACAAGATTTAAGTGATTAATAAGGTCTCATGTGAGTAGGTGTATATACACAAGTGTGCAAACCCCAACTGCTTTATTTTGATGCTTTGCAGTTCCCACATCTAGCCCTCTGCAAGCATTCCTTTCTGTGTGGGTGTTTGTGATAGTTTTATTAAATGGTACCACTGTAGCACACAGGCCTCATTACTTTTCTCAACTAGTATGATCTGGTTTGATATATTAGCGAAGAGCCATGGTCTATTTCTATGTTCTATTATTATGGTTCTTTTCTAGCACATAATATAATAACTATTACCTCAAAGAGACTCTTCCTAAAGCCTTGTGTATATTCGTTTATCATCCATCAAGTGCAGGCAAATTACTGAGACATGATTTTTGCCTGGTTGTTCTGCATTTGGTCCTCAGAAATCAGGCCTCATAGTCTCATTTCCCATTTAGTTGTTTTACTAGCTGGGATGCTTTAATGAACCAAGTTTTGCTTGGCAATCGCCATGCCCCTGGCTCCACTGCGTAGAGCTGACATAGTAGGCGTTCAATAAATATTTGTGGAATGGATAATGAATCCTGAATCATCACAATAAACCACCCCAAACAGTTTGTCTTTTCTCTGCTCCTAAGGCAATGGTTATCAAACTTTTTGGCCCAGCACCAAGTTTTTGGCAAGGCAAGAGGTTGTGCAGGCCACTCATGCCACCTGTTCCTGGTTATGGTCAGAGAAGAGATTTCACAAAATCTAATGGAAAATAGTTCAAAGTGCTTTAGGTGAAAAAAATGAGGTGAAGCTAGTTTTCATTACATTTTGCATGAAAATGTATTAATTTATTATAAATTCAGTCTGTTAATATTGCCATAGTCATTGAAACCAGTGAAGTCCAGTCTAACAGCCATGCGCAGGCTGTCTATGACCTCAACAGAGCACTCTTTGAGGAACATTGAGTGGTCCTATAACTTTGGTTAGATATAGTCGTAATTGTGATAGACACTGTCTAATCATTTAACTTTCTAAATAGTTTTATTTTTTTGTTCCTCTTTTCCAAAGTTCAGATTCAATGCTCACTGAGAACAAATGCCTCATGAGTCTAATTTTGCTTCAAGTTTTTGGAAAACAACACAAAATCCTAATAACAAACCCTAATAGGGCATAAAGTGAGTAGGGTTTTTTGTAGACGACAACGGGATGACAGGCTTGATTTACAATCCAGGCCCTCAACTGCCACTGGATTCCTCTGGCCTCACAATGAGGAAGAATCCCTTTCATTGTTCAGCATTTGACCCCACAAATTCCTCCTAGTCTAAAATGGGAAATCTTCCACAATGGCTGATGCAATCCATTCAAATGCTTTGCCAGGCATTTAGGGATATATTTGGAATTACCATTTCATGCAGGGCAAACATTGCAAGAAAACAAATGTTACTAAAAACTTGATAGTCTACCCCAAATACTATAAATATGTATTTTAAACTTAAAGGCAACAAATGAACCCAAAGGGAAAAATCTTACATTAGCTATAATCAGCCAAGAGTAATGCTTCCCCATCTACATCATAGGAAGTCATTACTAATCCTTAGTTAGTGCCAAACTCCAATCTTAGTAGAATGGCACAAATATCCATCCCACTAACAGAAGATAGATTCATACTGTGATATGGGATTTGGAACAGTAAGACAATAAAAATGCTTCAGTTTGAAAATTGGGCATGCACATTTCCCAACCCTGAAAGTAGTAAGAGCTTCAAAGCCACAAATCAAAATTGTAAATATAAATGATCGCTAATACCAATATTTTTACATCCCCACAGCTCTGGTATTGCTAACTGGATATGAATGCGTTATAGCTCTGAAAGGGGGCATGAATTTTAATAGTGATGTTAATAACACCTCTCAGCATTTGCTGTGCTACTATGAGTATGGAAAGTCTCCTTGGCAAGACTCATGTGAAACAGAACTTGCTACCTTGTCAAGGTTTACCAGATAGCTAAAAGGGTTCTAGAAGAGGAAACAGGTCTTTCCTAAAGTGCCAAGGAAAGCTGACAAAGAAGAATATCTTGAGTTAATTATACGATGTGAGCATCTAGATCAGTCTTAACTTTGTTTCTTGAAACAAAGATTGCTCATTAACTAAATTAGCATAGCTAATTTGTACTTCATGTTTCTGAAAAAAAGCAAATATTTCTCTCAATGTATTGGTCAGAAAGACAAAGAGCCACACACAATACTAACCCATTGCAAATTCACCAGAAACACCCTGTAAATTATTTTATTCTAAGATGCCTGATTCTATTTTGAAAGCACAGATGCAGGATAGTTCTCCCAATACATGGCTAACTATTGGAAAGGAAATATACACTCAATTTGGGGCTAAGACTTTCTTTCTTTATGGGTGGTATTGTACCTTTCACTATCTTATTTGCTCATCTATAAAACAGGACCATTTTAGTAAAACATTGTGAAATAGAACCATTCAAAGAGATGAGATGTTATTTGAAAAATAATTAATGGAATCTAATTGCAAAATAAAAAAATAAACCCTTTTATTTCAAATATATCTTTATTTTTCAAATCTGAATTTCATAACTTCAAATAGAAAAATAAACTCCCTTGAATCTCAATCCAAGAAAATCAGTTATTTTGTGTGTCTTTGTATCTCTC